TTAGGGGTTAGGGGTTTGGGGGTTAGGGGTTTAGGGGTTTGGGGTTTAGGGGTTGGGGTTTAGGGTTGAGGGGTTCAGGGGTTTAGGGTTTAGGGGTTCAGCGTTTAGGGTGTAGGGGTTTAGGGTGTAGGGGTTTGGGTTTAGGGTTTGCATAGAGGCCTCTCGAAGGTGCTGCTGCTCTATGGGGCCGGCCCACTGAATAATTAGAATAAGGTTTTGGGGTCTGTTATGGTATGCTTATATAAGGACTACAATAAGGGGATACGGTACCCAGCCCAGCCCAAGTTAGGTGGAGGATGCCGTTGCTGAGATCATGGCGATCATTGAGTTAGTGAAGGAGGACCAGCGCAAAGACGTGATGATGGCAATCATGAAAAAGGCGAAGGGTGCTGGCAAAGGCAAAGCTTGAGAGTAGTTCTAAATTTGGACCGGTATCGGCACCAAAGAGACCCACCAACATCTTCGTATGGTTCCTACTTAGTTGGTAAAAATTGCAAGCATCGTGTTGAGACACGCCAAAGACGTCGGCCGATTCGCCAGCCCCGCCACTACTTGCAAATGCCTGTGCTCGATCATGCTTGATGGCGCAGGCCTTCTCGTAAGGAGGCCCTCCATCCTGTGAAGTCTGGGTGGACAGGCCTGCCGGTGACGAGAGCACCCGGTTCCAGCGGCAAAATCACAGTGCGCTGACCGATGAGCCTGATGCTGTTTCACTTTTTCCGGGAACCCCGGATGCGGGAACGCCACTTTGGGCCTGTGCCTTTATAGCAAGGGCTGCGGGTTCATGGGTTCGACCCCACTCGCAAATTCTAAACCCGAGTCAGAGCATGCCGAGATCCTCAGACCCGCCCTTCTGCATAGCGCCCTCCCATGCCAGGTCGCAACAGCCGAAAGTCCTCTACGACTCTACATCAGTACTAGGGCTTCGGTGTTCTGGGTGAAGGGTTTTGTGATTGTGGTGATGTTGTGAACTTCCATGCAGGCACTAGTATTGTCATATGGACGGCTGTGACCGTAGTCTCGGTTTACTTACTGCCGGCTGTGTTCTCTGCACTCTGGCCTGCAACCCACACCCTGAATGCAAAACTCTGGAACCTCAAAGTAAACCTTTTAAGACCTTCACGCCGAAGTGCTGAAGTCCCAAAATCCTCATCCCTGAAACCCAAACTTTCCACCACTCAAAATAGGTAATGTAAGGATGTTGATGATTGGCATAGGGTTTTTGGGGTATCCTAAAGTATAGTCACAAAGAGGAACCGTAAGATTTTCTAACGTTTAGGCTTGTATGTTGGACAAAGAAGCCATGTGCAACCCTGGACCCATAGCCCTGGACCAAAGCTGGCTGCGGCTTCCACCCGAGCGCGCGCGTGCGCCCCGGGGTCCCCCTTGGAGGTTGATGGCTAGTTATAAGTGGGGTTATATGGTTCCTTTGAGTTGCTAGAGGGGTTAGGGAGGTTAGGGTTCAGGGCAGTTATAAGCGGGGCTATAGATCCCCCTTTTCTGGGTTCTGATCATAGTTACCCTACTTATATACCTACCCATGAACCTCCGAGCAGCTTTGCCCTGGATGGCGCGAAGTGCTCTGTTGTAGTAATATTGTAGTGGTCAAGGGATGAGGATTCCGGATGTTGAAAATCTGTAAACGGGGCTAACTTCCACTGGTGATAGTAGTGATCGAAACAGCACAAGGGATCGTAACCATCGTAGATTTGGCAATGCCATAGCAATTACCGCGTGGCAGTAAGAATAGCATGTAGCTCTCATCGAGAGTGTCATTGCCACTCCACGTCAGACGTGTACATGTCTAAGAACCGGCACCTGTCCTTGGGACCATGTCTTGTCTTGTCCTTGGAGGTTCATGGGTGTTTAAAGGTGGGGTTATAAGCTGCTTATAACTATCCGTGAACCTCCAACTGGAGAGGATAGGCATTGACTGGAGCTTGAGCGAGTCTGTGCGAAGCAGTGTGGCTCGTCGGTCCCTAGGTCTGTTAAATCTTCAAACTAGGGACGGGCGAACCTGTCACTGGCGTGTGGATTCGCGTGCTCTGCTATGGCCTGTAGACAACTTCAGGTAAGACTCCAAGGTGCACTTCGCACATTCTGTGGGAATGTTTCTGTTCAGCCAGGCCCTCCTTGTACAGTTGGAGCGCTTGAGCAGCGGATCGATTTCGTCCGGCAAAAGAAGCTGTCGTGTGAGGGATGTGCAAGGGGATCTTTCATCCAAAAGTCGACCTTAGACCTGGAGTGTGCTGACGAACCTGACGAAAAGTCTGGTGGCCGCCTAAGTTCTAAGCAGCACCAGGAGCAATGAAGCGGCCATCACCCAGAGCAACCTCCCTAAACCCTGGAAAAAAATACAAAACCGTGGGTCTCGGGTGGAGGCGCGAAGGCCCTCAGCGCTTTCGGTGGCCGAGGCTACACATGTCGGAAAAGCTCTACTCGTCGGGCACACCGCCTGGGGTGGTTATGGGCCGACCCCTTGGTGACACTTCAGTCTTTGCCATGTTGGAGTTAAGCTAGTGTGCGGGTCCGTCAAGTAATCCAGATGTCTGGAGAATCTAGCATCGCCTTATGCTCCCCATGTAGTTACAGTATACCATACCCTCAAAGCCCTATTATTAACATCACTACGACCGGATGAGCTTGAGCTCTGAGGCAGGACTCCAGGGTTTGGAGGACTCTACTTACAAAGCAGAGCCAGCGCCGGATAGTGGCAAGTTTGTGTCGGTGAAGTCGAGCCCTGGCAGTATAGGTTTCTTCCAGAGAACCACTGAACTGCTACGTAGCACCGCGCACGGGCCTTCAAGGGAACCCCAGGCACCGTCATCTCCTGGTAATTCGGTATGGATACCTTAAAAATTTGTGCTGCTTATGGCCACCTCAGAAGGACGTGTACGCCGGGTCAGTTCCCCACATTAAAGAGTGAGATCTCCCTAAACCCCTGAACCCGTAAACCCCTAACCTCCAAACCCTAAACTCTAAACCCTTGAACCCCTAAACCCTAAACCCTTTAACCTCTAAACCCTTGAACCCTAATCCCTTTAACCCCTAAACCCTTTATCCCCTAAGCCCTAAACCCTTTATTCCCTCAACCCCTAAACCCTGAACCCTTCAACCCCTAAAACCCTAAGCCCCTCTTCTCAGGCCTGGCGTGGACAGCCAACGGGGGTGCCACGTTGTACGTAGAAGCCCGGGGCTGGGGCCTCGGCTCGCCAAAGCCTGGTTTCTGCAAACACCAAAATAATAATCAATATTGTATATTATATAATGCAATAATATAAATACATAATTGTTTGAATAAATAAATAAATACGAATAAATAAGTAAATGAATATATATATATATATGTGTGTATATGTATATATGTATAGATGTATATATGTATATATGTATATGTAAACAAATAAATAAATGAATGAATGACTATATACATATATATATATACACACACATATATCTATATTAATTTTGATATATATATATAATATTATATAATACAAGATTTTGCATTGCAGTACTATTTAATCCAATATTATACAATACAATATCAAAAAGTACAATATAGGAAAGTAGACTGCATGATCAGGGTGGTAATTCAAGTGCTGCTGGAAGTGGTAGCAGTAGTGGTAGAGGAGAGAGGTAGTAGCCGCAGGAGGACCAGCAGCAACAGACACATTCGCGGAAGAGGAGGAGGAGGAGTAGGAGGAGGAGGAGGAGTACTAGGAGCTATGAAGCAGTCGCAGTCGCAGTACCAATCCCGGTCCACTGCTTCTACTACTGCTACAACTGCTACAACTTCCACAGCTTCTACTGCTACTGCTACTGCTACCACTGTCACGACGACGACGACGACGACTACTACTACTACTGCTACTACTACTACTGCCGCCTAGGTCGTTTGCCCGACGGGAGGCGGGAAGTCTCCGCAGCATGGGAAGCGTTGTTTCGCGAGTTTGGAGTTCCGGGTTTTTGGCCTCTGATTCCGAACGGTCTTGTTCCAGGCCTTGAAGGCCTGCGGTTGGGCAGTCATGTGTCTGCGCTCTGCGGATGTTTGCCCGAAGCCACAGCCCGGAATGCTCCAATCCCCTGCTGGAAGAGCCCGTGATCTCCGGTAGCAGCCTCGGAAGCCAGCAGGGGCAAGGCTTCAAGCAAACTTTGAGGAGTTTGCAAAGCTGGGCGAGGCAGACAGATGGGCAAGACAACAAAGCAAGAACTCCACACCTCTAAGCGCAGGAAGGCGATTGTACTCACGCTGGTGTTGGTTGCACTAAGTCTTGTAGCGTCGTAGCACCCAAACTAATTTCAAGCTGGCCATAATAAGCCCCAAAACTATCCTCAGCCCAGCCTGCCAGGGTGCAGGGGGGTATGGCCTCCCTGACGCAACGACACGAGGAGGTGCCCGTGGAATTTCAATCACGCTCTGGCTCGATCAATCAATCAATCAATCAACTCGTTTGTCTATCTGTGGACATGGACACGACTGTAGCTGGGTATCATATTCACATACCTGCGTGCATATGTATATTTATACAGATGTGCTTGTATATGTGTACGTATACAAGTGCATAGACATGTACACGTTTGCACACATATCATATATGAATGAATGGACGTACACATGTACACGTGTATGTATGTATATTGTACACATTCGCACATAGACGTACATAATATATAATAATGCATCTGTATGTGCAGATACACACGCATGAAGAGCCAATGTGCCGGATAATTTAATTCTGTGCTTTGGGTGTATGGCCGGGGCAGAGAGACAGATGCCATTGTTCCCTACCACAGGCTTGAGCGAGTTGGACAATGCACCCTAAAATCGAAGCCCTACACCCTAAACCCTACATCAGAAACTCGAAAAACCAGTAATCGCTGCTCATGGTTACCCCAAGAAAGGCGATTCGCATGTCCACCTCCAGGAGAGCCGAGCGATCACGGAGCAGCCGCAGAACGGCGCGGGCAAGGGCCACATGCAGGCACCCGCCGTTGCTTGCAAGTTCGATGGTTGCTGTTGAACCTAGTGATTGCTTCGACACAACAAGGCCTCTTCCCTTGCCTTCCGAGTTCTGGCAGATCAAGATCTTCACTTGAAACAACTGGTAGATGCTTCAGCAACTACAGTGACAGGCTGTCGGATTGAGTGCGTGGTGGTTTGGAGTGCTTTTACAGCTAGATCCAAGCACACAGACACGGTCCAGATACATTTAGTTGATCCTCAGGTTGAGGCATCAGGATATCATCAGGATCATCAGAAGTCATTCATAGTCAGCATTCAGCGAAGGTATGCAGTGCAATCACAGCCCAGCCATCGGAGTAGTAGTAGTAGTAGTAGTAGTAGTAATAGTAGTAGTAGTAGTAGTAGTAGCAGCAGCAGCAGCAGCAGCAGTAGTAGTAGTAGTAGTAGTGGCAGTAGGACGAGGAGGAGGAAGCCCAAGACCCCGTGTGATGGTGGCGGCGAGGCCTGGTTATGTTGGCAACAAAATCCTGATGCCGACGGTGATGATTGTGCTGATGACGACGATTACGATGAGAATGGTTGAGGTAGCAATGGCTGCAAAGTTGACGCTGTTTCTGATTTTTTCTTGCTGGATAGAGCTTGTATTCATTCAATGAAAAATGATAGGAGTGTGACTTGTACAATTTGTACAAAGATGTTCGGAGCGATGATGATCATGGCTTAGCCATGATGACGAAGACACAGGGGGGTTGAAGACATGCAGTGGGGCAAGCAATGCTGACAGCGATGAAGCTAGCAACACCTTGCGCATCTCGGGTCAAGCGCTACTGCAAAAGTTGTGCTTTGGGCGCGGGAATGGCGACGCGAGACGCCCAAAGTGGCGCAAAGCTGGGATGCAGGCCACTCAGACTTGCATGGCTAGGTCTAGCGATTCTCTTGGGCTTCCCTGCTAGCTCTTCGACGTTTACTGAAGTCTCAGCTGCCGCGGATGGGCGGCGAAAGATGGCGCTGCGATGGTTCGCAATGGATTTTGCCATGGCTTTTGCTGCGGGAGAGCTACCTGCGGCAGCGGAGGGCGAGAATGTCGATCTGGGATACGAGAAGATGGATCGGCTAAAAGGCTCGCTGGCCAAGAAGCGAGTGAAAATGCCGGATTTCACTTCGCTCCCCAGCGGCTTGCAGATCAAAGATGCAGATCCGGGACGAGCTGGGACGTCAGAGGCCAAAGAAGGCGACTATGTGGTTTTCACATGGGAGGGCTACACTATCAATTACTTCGGACGACCATTTGAAACACGGACCTTACAAAAGATGTCTGGCATCGACCCTGATCCTTTTCGCTTCCGAGTGGGTGACGGCACTGTCATCAAAGGGATCGATGAGGGCGTCCGGGGTATGCACGAAGGTGGAATTCGGCAGCTGATTGTCCCCGTGGAGATGAGCTATGACGAGGAGCATAAGCTGGCACCGAGGCCGACGACAGACGGTGGTAATCGAGCCCTTGACTTCGTGATGGACAATAAGGGCGGCCTTATGGACAAGACTCTGCTCATTAACATCGCAGTGAAGAGAATCTACCAGAAGTGAGCGACTGCGCGCTTGGTTGTGTGACCTGCGGAGTCCTCGAACCTAGCCCAAATCAGCTCGACTGCCAGCATGTGTGCGGGCTGTTGCACACACACAAACGCACGCCTACACATATTTCTGTACTGACTCTCGCTCTGTCTCCCTCCATGTTTACAGGTGCGTGTAGACATGGACTAAACAACTCTCTGGCATCTTCGCCTAGTATGGGCACATGTGCGGCTTTGTTTTTCATCCGTATAGTTTCACGTCCATCGCGATTCCTCCTTGCTTCTGGTACTTGGCTGCTGTCTGTCTGTATCTGTACATCCGCGCTTCTTTGTAGCAGTGTATCTGGCTGCACCCTAGTACTGAAATTTAATTCTCACTCGCATCTTCATGTTGACCTACACTGTACGTCTATCTGCCTTCACGGATGTGGAATACATATCTATGCTTCTATGTATTCAGTAGATCTATCTGCTTTCGGCCTATCTACTCGTCCGTGCTTGCTTGGCCGCGTGCCTACACATCTACAAAACACGTTTAACTCAATCCTGTATGTCTGTCTGTCCAGTTGTCCACCCGGCCATCTTCCCTCAATGTGTGTACATATGTACTATGCATGGAGGTAGCATGCAGGTATGTCTACATGAAGTATGTGTGCGTCCTGCGCACGCAGTACGTAGAGAATCTAGTAAACAAGTGTATGTATATGTATATGTATATGTATATGTATATGTATATGTATATGTATATGTATATGTATATGTATATGTATATGTATATGTATATGTATATGTACATGTGCAT